GCACGCATGCACGAGGACGCCGCCGGCCCCGTTCCAACCGAACCAGTTGGAACGGGGCGAGAAACTCACCCCTGGTAGGGCTCATGAAAAAAGGAGTGGCCCAATTCTCTTTCTCTCTGCATTGGTTTAGTTGGCAACTTGAAGGAAAGTTTGTTGTATTCAAGTCAAGTAATACAGCTGTTCTTATGTTCAAATCAATGGGAGATTATCTCTCCTTCCCTAAAAGTGGGAAGGTCAAAAATAATTTCAGATCTAGTGCCCACTGTATCTCTAATGTCCTTTAGTGCATTCGGCTCAGTGGTGCAGTTCAGCTGGTTCTACCCGGTTCGGGCGAATCGGTAGCAGTGGCAACGGAAGGCTCTGCCTGGATGCCATCACACCCTGTTTTTTACGCTCTGCGCATATGCAGAAGGTCCTGTGCATGTGTGGAGATGGCACATGTGGCAGAGGTGGGTTGTTTCCGGTTTGGCGCAGATCAGCCAAACCAGTAGTAGCGGTGGTGGAAGACTCCGCCCATCTGCCCGTACGCTTCTGTGCATGCGCCCCCTCCCAAACCGGTAGTAAAAAATTGGCAACCCACCACTGACGCGCGCTCACATTTGCAAACCGGTAGCGAAGGTAAGTTGATTTCAACCCTGATTCAGCTGAACACTTGGACAACACATTCACGATCGTTTTTATTGGAAAGCGTTAGGAAATCTCTATGGAGATTCTCAATCATCCAGGCCACGGTTGCACCAAAGATGCCTTTCCAAAAGGCAACAGGACTTTCTTGGCTTTTTCCTTGAAAACATTTCACTTCTCCTCCAAGAAGTGGAAGTGAAGAAGCTAAACATTGCTACCAGCTTAGCTTATCATCTGTATACTAGAACTTTGTGAGGAAGGCTTAAAACACCGAAATGATGGCTTTTTTTCTCCTTCTTCAGGCTGTTTTGTAATCTTTCCTGCCAGTCAAATCATGACAGGTCTTGCGGGCAATCAAATAAGGGGCAGGGTTTCAGAGAGAAAACAGTTTCTCACTGAAATTTTTAAAATCCTTTTTTATCTAGGTTTTTTGGGGTTAACTTTTAATGTTTTAAATTTGAAAGCTTGCTGTTTTTAATGTTTTAAATTTTTTTGCTGTTTTATATTGTTGTTTTACTATGCCATAAACCTCCCAGGGTCACTTGACAATAGAACGGGAGATTTAACAATAGATTTAATAAAGAAATAAATGATCACTTCTTTCCAACATTTTACAGGGAATCCTTGACCTATGACCATAATTGGGATAAGAATTTCTGTGGTTAAGTAAAGTGGTTGTTAAGTGAGTTGTGTCAATTTTACAGACTTTTTTTGCCATAGTTGTTAAGCAGATCGTTACCATTGTTAAAGGACTCACATGGGCAGGGAGCAAATCCAGCTTTCCTCATCGACTTTGCTTGTTGGAAGCCGGCTAGAAGATTCCATATGGTAATCACATGATTCTGGGACATTGCCACCATCATAAAGACATGCCGAGATGGCGCAGTGGTTAGAGAGTCGAGGTGGCGCAGTGGTTAAATGCAGCACTGCAGGCTACTTCAGCTGACTGCAATTCTGCAGTTCGGCTGTTCAAATCTCACCGGCTCAGGGTTG